GTCACACTATGCCATTTCTCTACCTAAAACCCTAAAAAAGCTCCCATTTCACTTAGAGGAGAAGCCTCGCAGGCTCTAGATTGATCTTGCCTTCCCCTCCTCTTTGACCTTTTTTCTGTTACTCTTTTCCTCATGTCTCCTTCAGCCACACTGGCTCCTTTGATTCCTCAGACATGCCAGGCATAATCTCATCTTAATGCCTTTACTCTATCTGGTCCCTCTGCCAGACCAACCTTCCCTCAGACATCCATTTGATTGACTCCAAATGGAGACCTAAGGAGTCTGTGCAAATCTCACTTCTCAGCAAGGCTTATCCTGAGCCCCCCTTTACTGTTGGCACACATCACCACTTCAGCATTCCTGATGCCCCTCACTCTCTCCTTTTTCCAGATCACTTCTTTCTAATAGACTCTATAATTTGCTTATTTATTTATTTACATATAATTTATTACTTGTTTCAGGGGTACAGGTCTGTGATTCATCAATCTTACACAATTCACAGTATAATTTGCTTATTTTTACCTTTACTTACATTTACATCTAGTATATCTATACACACTGGAATCTAAGCTCCCATGGTCAGGAATCTTTGCCTGCTGGGCTCACTGATATCTCCAAAGCCCTAGAACAGTGCCTGGCTCAGAACAGGCACTGCATAAACACCCACTGACTGTTGCATCAACTTGGAATTAGTCCTCATTTCTATGAGCAGCAACCCTGCATCACACCATCGTTTGGGTCCTTGAAAGATGCTGATGCTCAGGTAGGGTGAGTATTCTGTGAAAGTCCCAACTTCAGGGATTGCTACAGCTGTGTCTGCTCTCATGGGTGGGGACACCCCCTTGCTCTGCAGCCACCATGCCTATCTCTTCACCTGAAGAGAAATTCTATTAATCAGGCAGAGAAATCAAGTCAGGGAGAAACAGACTTCAATTCAATCCTGGGAAATTGAGATTGAGCTAGATACTCTGAGTAAAATGAATGTGTCAATATGTAGTGAAATAAATCTGGGGTCCAGAGTAAATAAGAAGCTCCATGTGGTTCAAATGACCTCCTGATGTCAAAATGTAAATGTTAACCAAAGATGTCATGCTTTTGCACTTCACAGACCCTTTTGTGTCTCTTATTTCACATTATCTTCATAACGACTCTAAGAAAGCAGTCATCCCCATCTTAAAAGGTGAGGAACTGGTGCTCCAGGAAATGAAAAGATACCCCCAAAGCCGTACAGCTATGTGGTGATGCTAGAGGACAGATCCCATGACTCAGCACAGAAATTTTCCCAATGGGGTGTTTGAAGCCCAGGGGTGTGTGGGGGTGTGCCTGGGGGACCCGAAGCCACAGCACAGATATGGCATACCTCCCCAGGGCACTGATTCTGTCCTGGGGTTCACAAAAATAAAAGGTGTTGGGCACGTGGGTGGCTCAGTCGCTTAAGCGTCTGCTTTTGGCTTGGGTCATGATCCCAGGGTCCTGGGACCAAGCCCCGCGTCAGGCCGCCTTGTTCAGCATGGAATCTGCTTCTCCCTCTCCCTCTGCCCTTCCCCCCACTCCTGCTCTCTCTCTCTCGCTCATGCTCTCTCTCTCAAATAAACAAAATCTTTTTTAAAAAAGAAATAAAAGGTGTTATTCTTTTATTAAAACAAACATGGAGGGGCGCCTGGGTGGCTCAGTTGGTTAAGCGACTGCCTTTGGCTCAGGTCATGATCCTGGAGTCCCGGGACTGAGTCCCACATCAGACTCCCTCTGACCCTCCTCCCTCTCATGCTCTCTGTCTCTCATTCTCTCTTTCTCAAATAAATAAATAAAATCGTTTAAAAAATAAAATAAAACATGGGTTTTCTATAAAGGACAATGCAAAATATTTGCATGAATTTTAAAAATTAAACAACACAAGTTTCCATATTTATAGAAGGCAGCTTAGAGCTCTGTAGCACCCTCCCCCAACCCCTGCCTGGCTCTTACATTAACCAGCTGTGCGGCTTTGGACAAGCTACTTACCTTCTCTAAGCCTAATTTGGGGATATGAAATGAAATAATAATGCCTTCCTCATAGACTTGTTGTTAAGAACATTAAATTAAGATACATAAGAGAAGTCCTAAAAACAGATCCTGACATAGGAAAAAAGAATGAAAACATTTTTTATTTACGATTATAATGTTGTAATTTTTTTTTTAAAGATTTTATTTATTTATTTGAGAGAGAGAGCACATGAGAGTGGGGAGGGTCAGAGGGAGAAGCAGACTCCCCGCTGAGCAGGGAGCCCGATGCGGGACTCGATCCCGGGACTCCAGGATCATGACCTGAGCCGAAGGCAGTCGCTTAACCAACTGAGCCACCCAGGCGCCCAATGTTGTAATATTTTTTTAAAAAATATGGGAAACAAGAAGCAATCATCCCATTAAAGTCCCCAAACATGTCCAATGTAAGGTTTCACTTGAGAAGCAAGAACAGGAAAAGATTTAGAGAATACAAATAGCAAACATGATTGGGGGTAAAAAGCAAGATGCTTCAGAAAGGTTAAAGGAACCGATTTTCTTTGAACTTGAGGAAGAAAGAGCTGAGAGACTTGGAACCTTCACGAAGTGAAGAGAAGGCTCAGCTATTGTCCACCTTCCCCAAGGCAGCATGGGGTGCGCCACCCTGACCCCAGCTGGGTGGGGAAGGGAGGGCTGATTAGGCATCAGGGGCATCTGCGTGGCTTTGGGAATCTCAGAACCGAGGAGAGAGAAGTGGAACCCATTTTCCCTGGAGATTTCCTTGGAGATCCTAGAATATGGGATACTGATGCATGGATGAGGAGTGGCTGATCGTGTAAGCAGAAAGCCTGGCCGTCAGTACGGTAAAGTCTGATGCACCAGGAGTCCAAACTTCCACATTATCTTCTTTACTGGCCCTGCCTGGCTGCCCCTTGGTCCAGTTTTACTTACTATGTTGTGTTAAGCCATTTATGGCTCCAGAGGATAAATGCTACTCCCAAGGCATTATCTGTTTAGTCATTAAGTCTTTAACGCTAGGCCTCATTAAATGAGCTCCTGCCAACCAGTGGAATACCCAGGAAAGGGACACAGAACAGGTATGTTGTGAAATTTCAACAAGAGAAAGGCAGGGGACCACCGGGGACAGGCCTGGCAGCCCTGGAAGGAGCTCGGCTTAGAGCAGGGAGAGGCCAGAAGATAAATATCATTTCCTCACAAACCCTCCACTCACCCTGCTTTCAGGAGGCTCTGTCTCCTCAGGGGAGCTCCAGGAAGGCAGGGACTTTGTCTTGATGACTTTATTCCCGGGTCTAAGAGAGCGTGCACCCACCCCCACCTGGGCACACTCTCACACACGCTGCTGGCCATTCAAGGCCAGCTCTGCAGCTGCAGCTGGGACCTCTAGATCCCTGGGGCCTCCATCTGGATTGTGCTTCGTCACTGCCTGCTCCAAGGCTTCCAGTCCCAAATCTGAACTGCAGACACTCTCCGAGACCATCCTGTCCTCTCATCAACCCCACCCCTCCAGCCCCCATCTGTCCAGCGTTTCTCCATGCCTCATCCCCAAGAAGGCCCCCGCTGCCCTCCTCCCTGCTCCTGTCTCTTCCCCTCTCAGGTCTCCCCATCCTTTCCCCCCCAGATCTGGCCTGCCCATCCATCTTGTCTCCTTCCCCAGTCTGTCCTCCCTCCTACTCTGACCATCTTCTCCCCTGGTATCTGTCACAACACTTCCACTCAGCTCTGCCTGGCTGTGTGCCCCTACTCCGTCCTCTGGCTCCATCCTCCTCATCCCTCTATCCCACATCTGGAGCCACACTGGGTTCTCAACGGGGGGAGAGGGGCAAGACTCTTCATGGGGCCTGAAACTGGATGTCAATCCCCCTCCCTAACATAAAAAAGTACCTGCTACATCATGGCTGTTCAATAAAAAACCAATGAGTGAATGAATGAATACTAACTGAATGAGTAATGTGATAAAAGTGACACTGGCAAACATAAGAGTGGAGAGGACACCTGACATCCTCATCCCAGAATATTCTGCAGCACAGAGTATTTCTCGGGTGTGAGCAAACACTGTGGGCAATTCCTGCTTTCTGGGGAGAGGGATCCTGTGACAGAGATCATGCCATCACCCAGGGGAAGCCAGAGTGATTGCCAAGGCTCAGGACTTGGCTGGCTGTTGTTTCACATGGGGGAGAGAACAACAACCCTGAGGGAATAATGACACTCCACCTGCCTTAAAGTTCCCTGTGCCCTCAAAACTCCCTCTGGGCAAAACACAACAGAAACACAAGATTCATGTTATTCTGTCTTTCCTCAGGGGGCTGTAGGTCCCTAGAAACTCTGGGCCAAGTCCCTTGTGATCAGTAAGTTCATCCTACAACCTCATCCTGCAATGTGCTCAGATGCTGGGCAAGGGGGGAATACCTGCTGTGAACAGAACCTGGCACCTGCCTTTGGTCTCAGTTTGGGGGCACCCAGGAATCCAGGGACACGGGGCATGGCTGAGCGCAGGCAGTAGCTGGGGCTTCCAGGAGCTGGGCCAGGAGGGGGCCAGGGTTCCTACCAGGAGTGGAGGCTGAGGGCAAGGGCCTGTGCAAGGGTCCAGCATCCAGGCTAGGAGACCTGCTGCAGGGCTGCTGGGGTGGGTGCCCCCTTGCTGTATGCACTACCTGGGCTCAGCAGGTGCCCTAGAGGGCCTGGCCAGGTGAGATCTACCCACCTGCTCCCCATCCCTACCCTCAGTGCTCATCTGAGCCACATCCGGGGACCCTCCCTCTGGGCAGGAAGCTTGGTGGGTGCAAGCAGCCCCTGAGAGGAGCCTCAGCGTTAGTCAGCATCATCCAGGACATCGCCGCCCCCCCACCCCTCGACCTGGGCTCCCTGAAGGAAATCAGCACTTGTTGCCAGGCCTGGCTCTCAAGGTGGTCCTACCACATCAGGCCCTCAGTTAACCCATCGCACATAGCACAGGTCATTAAATCCACCTGCGTGCTGCACCCACACCAGCTCACAGAGGTGGCCTTCTAGCTGAGGCCAGGAAGCGCAGGGGAGGAGTCAAGGCATGAGGTGCTACTGCCCTCTGCTGGCAGCTTCCAGATATTCCACGCTGATGCCAAAGAGAAGGCCCAATAGGCCCAAAAGGGCATCATCCTCCCTCCTCCCACTCATCCTTACCCTGGGGGACACACAGGATTGGCGGCTCCCACTGGGACCATGGAACTGGCTGCATCCAGTTCCCAGGAGAGTCAGCCAGCTTACAGAGCGAGAACAGACAGCACAGAAGATGAGAAAAGGAGAGGAGAGCAGAAAGATGGGAGCTCACCAACCTCCCCTGAGGAGTAACAGCCCCTTCCGTTTACACTGTCCGTCACAGGATGCAGAGAGCACTCAAATACACTGGACAGCACATCAAACAGGACAACCCCAAATGGCATGGCAGGGCAGGGCAGGTATGAGATGAGAAAGGTGCAGGCCCACAGGGTCGGTGTCCCTCACCACAGGCACACAGCCAGGTGTGGAATGAGACCCACAACACAGAGTCTGCCTTCCTTGTCCAGGGCTCTGGCAAATAATATTAAGCAAGTGTTTCTTGTCCCCTGTTACACATCCCAGAACATCTGCAATCACGAAATCTTGTACTGAAAAAAGCACGTGCCCCCCCATCACTAGACCTGACTTGTCATCTGGCAACCGCCAGGCGTGGTCTGGGAGAGGCTGGATCTGGTCACCGTCTGCGTTCTCTGTAACAGGCTGAAAAACACATTAAACAGAGATGAACAAAGGTCTGAGAAAACAGAGCATCTTAGAGCATGGAGACACATTACACCCTCCCAGCATAACAGGCAGACAGCCCCTAGGATGCTTACATGCTGGGCGGGCCGTACAAGGCTGCAGCTTGGATGATTTGCTTTCTTAACACCACGCTCCTGTTGCTTCCAACAAATGACCAGTGTGGCCATCACCAAAGAGAAGCCAAGGCTTTAGATAAAGGCAGCCACGGGCTCTGGGTTCACCACACGCCCATATGCTCATTGGTTTGGGGACCTTCTTCCTCTTGTCCCCTGGAGACACATTATGCCCTGATCAGTGTCCCCAGTCTATCCATCTTCTCCCCCATCCTCCCTGTTTCTGGTTGGTCTCCCATGGCCTCTGCCCTAGCCACTGCCCAGGACTGCCTTCCTCCTTCCCTCCTGCCCTTCCCCCAGACTATGGCCAGGGTCAAGGGCAGAGCTAGCCCTCCCAAGCAGGATTAAACTGATTGGAAAGAAGCAAGCACATCCCTCATCCTTGCTTCTGAGTCAGCCAGAAGCAATAGCAAAATGCGTCCTCTGCTCTGGACGGAGGAGCAGGTGACAAATGGGCAACTTGTTCTTCCTCTGGATTTTTTTTAACGCTTAGAGAGGAGAGGAGGAATATTTATTAGTAAGGAAATGGGACTTGTCGGAGCCTATGAACGCCCCCACACATGTCTGCTCTCAAGGAAGAAGAAAGACAAGTTAAGAAATCTAAGACCCCTGGTGAGCTATGGAACAATCTCTCTGGAAATAAAATGTGCACCCAAGCAGGGGCTCCAATCAGACGCTTTCACCAGCTAGAAAGGGGAGCTACCAGAGGAGAAAATGAAGCCTGGTGCCCACCGCTGCCCTCAGTCCTGGCTGCCCTGGGGCTCATTTCCAGCCCTAGTCTTTGTCTACCTGGCCAGGTCGCACCATCCCTGACCCCCCTGCCACCCCGGAGTAAGTGGGGCTCTGGCAGCTTGCAGATGGGCCAAACCTGCCCGAAGAAAGCTTCCTAGAAGGGACTACCTCCATGGAGATTCTGGGATCATTGCCACCCACCCTTGGAGTATGCACAGTCTCATGGCAGGTCAGGCCTGGGCAGCTCTGTCCCTTGTGGTTTCATCTGTCACCCCTCCTTGCCCTGTCCTGCAAGAGCCAGTGCTGACCCAATGGTGCTGACTCACTCATCCACTCTCAGGGACCACCCTCCATGTGCCGAAACAGTGCTCAGCCCCATGGGGTCCGAGAGATGAGTAAGACCCCGTCTTTGTCCTCACAAAACCTTCATGCTTGAAAAGGATGGCCAATGACAAAAAGTCACATTTCTATCTCATGTAATGGCTCAGAAGAATGTTTATGCAATTATCTCATTTTTAATACTTAATGGCCCTGGGTAAGAGCTGGCTTTCAAATCTCTGCTTCACAGAAGAGGAAAGAGTCTCACAGAGATGAGTGTGACCCTTAGACTTTTGCTCAAAGTTCTTGTACTCTACCACCCACAGCTGGATGGCAAGGCAGGGTCTCGCCACTGATTCCAGGAATGGGGAGGGTTTAATGAGCCCCACACAGGGACAGGACCACTGGTTGGGGTCCTCAGATCTGGGGGTGCGCAGTTATAGGGTATGGGACTTTCTGCCTACGTGAGTGCCTCTCCCACACCAGGTGTCCTCTCCAAAGAGCGTCCCAGACCAGGGAGGGGGACAGATAAGGCCTGTTTCTGAGCAGTGGGCTAGAAGCAGACTGGACAGTGAGGCTGCCTGAACCAGGTCCTCACTGGTGCTGCCTGGGGTCACCTTTTCAATGGCCCCCCATAGCACAACTTCGGCATCACTCTCTATAGCCCAGAGGCTGGGAAATGTCCAGCTACAGAATCTGTCTTAAGGAGAAGGAGAAGACTCGATTTTCCTCCCTGATCCTCACTGCATCTTCCTGATCACCCAGCCCCCAGCCACGGCCAGCGACCTTCCAGGAAGCTCTGCAGCCAGTGCCACTCGAGCCTCATGTGTGGGTCTCTCCTTCCCTCTGGTGGACAGACCGCAGCAGTGCAACCACATCCCTGCACAACCCAAATGCAGAAATCACCTTTCTTCTCACCGCCTCTCTGACCTTCGCTTGTTCCCACAGGATGCTGTGCCTGGACGGGGGTCAATGACCCTGCTTTCTGCTCCCAACTCCCACTCCCCTTACTTCCCCCTACAGATGAGGACCAGCCCCTTTCTGACCTCAGCACTGCCTGGCTTAGTGTCCAGGTCCTTCCACATGGTTAGTGCCCTGCCCCTGGTGCTGTTGGGCCTCCCCTGCACCATGACCCCTTCTCCCCAGATCTCCTTACCCACATCTCATTCCTGCCATCTGCCTGTCAGTCTGGTCTCCTTGCCCACAGAAGGCTCTGACCTTGGGTAAGGGCTGATCTGGCCCCAGATGCCCAGCTGTGACCACCAGCTTCAAGGCCCTGGGATGCGGGTTTCTGAGCCTCTGCTTCTCTAGGTTAACTTGATTTGCTGCTTGGCCCCAGTTCAACCCACTTTAACCAACACTGATCTTGGCTTTAGCAGGCACTGTGCTAGGAACAGCAAGAACCAGAGATTAGTCTACCAGGTAAGGTGGACATACCAGTAAAATGAACCAAGACCTTATGGCGACAGCAACCTGGGAGCCCCGAGAAGGAGGCTTTGTGGGGAAAGTGATCAGTCTACATTGATGCGTGAGCAGTTTCACCCAAGGGAAACAGTGGAAGGAGGCTGGCTGCAATGGCTGCCACCTACTAAGCACTGTCTTTACCTACATTATCTTCTACCCTGGTCCTAGCCCTGAAGTTAAATTCTTATGTAATGATGGAGCCTCAGAGCATGAGAGTAGTTTGCCCCAGTTCCCACAGCTAGAGGGCTATTTGAACCTGGTCTCATGTTGCTTGCACCATATTCTGTTGCCTTTCTAGCAGAAGGCAGAGCAGGAGCAAACACGTAAGGGCACGGAAGTGTTGGCACACTCAGGAATGGAGAGTGTTTCCAGACAGGCTGAGACAAAACTCTGTGAGCATGATTTTGTATAGAGGGAGGTGGTATGACTTAGACTTTCAGAGATTTGCAGATGGCAGATGAGACGGTAAGACTAGGAGTGGTTGACCAGATGCTCCTCAATAACCCTTCTCTCCTTCTATGGTAATAGAACTCATAGTTCTTATCTTAGTTCTTGCTCACTAAATAAAAACTACACTTCCCAGCCTTCCTTGTTGATGTGACTCATGAGTCACATCGCCAGGGGATGTGAGTACAGCCTATTGTCAACAACTTCTAGGGGACGCTTTTAAAGAAAGGAGCATGCCTTCCCTTCCTCCTTTATCTCTTCCCCCTAGCTGGACTGCAGATGAGCTGGTGAGATACATGGGATCACGCAAACACAGGAATAACAGAGCGGCAACAGAGAAGACACCTGCATCCCACACACCACAGAGCCACCATGCTGTCCCAGGACTGCCCATGATCAGACAGTTACTTGTGAAAGAGAAATAAACTCTCACGTTTAAGGTGTTGTTATTTGTGATCTCTCTGTTGGAAGGGTCTCAGCCAGAGGGGACGAGTCCGAAGCCATGGCAAGAGGGAAGAGCGGGAGGAATGGGGGGGTTCCAAAGACACTGGAGGAAACACCAACAGGACTTGGTATCTGACCGAATGTGAGGCATGAGGACAGAGGACCAGCGTGGCATTAAGTTGACAGCAGAACGGAGGTATTTGAGACATGGTGTCCTTTCTCTTTATGATTTCACTTCTAGATCTAACTTCCTCCTCACCCATCTTCTCTTCAGGACCTCTCCTTTCCCAGATGCCAAATCGCTTTGCCAAGACCTCTCCTACCTTTATCCTTCACACATACTTCTCTCTCTGCTGGGACACTGCTTGCAGCCCTGCACCACCTTCGCGTGGCTGACTCAAAGCATCTTTTATGGACCTTCCCCCTGGGAAGCTGCCCTGACTCCCCGGAGCTGGATGAGGTCCCATCGCCTGTACTTTCCCTGCATCCCCTGTACTGCGCTCCCTCTGTCTCAGCATGGAGTTCTCTGTGCGGTAAGCATTTGCTTTCTAGTCATTTCTCTCACTTAACCAGGAGCTCCTTGGGGACAGAGACCATATTCACCCTTGGATCCTCACTGCCCAGTATAGAGCCTGGCACTTGATAGGCATCCAAAAGATGTCTGTGCGGGATTTTCCTTTATCCTCACTCCTCAAAACCACCCTCTGGCTCCCCATTTACCACTCACCCTCAGCAGGTTCCACTGACTGAGTTCCGTAGAGCACTTACATGAAACAGAAGCGAAACAAGCCAGCAACGCCGGGCAGCCGCCTGCAACTGCACTCACCATGCTGTGACTCAGAACTGCCATTATCAAAAGGTAACAGATTTCTGCAGTCTTACTCCCCATTTGGGCAGAAAAACATGAGGCAAGCTTCCTCAAGGATGTTTAACTTGAAATGTTCCGTACCGGGGCGCCTGGGTGGCTCAGTTGTTAAGCGACTGCCTTCGGCTCAGGTCGTGATCCCAGGGTCCTGGGATCGAGCCCCGCATCGGGCTCCCTGCTTGACGGGAAGCCTGCTTCTCCCTCTCCCACTCCCCCTGCTTGTGTTCCCTCTCTCGCTGTGTCTCTCTCTGTCAAATAAATAAAAAAATTAAAAAATAAAAAAAAAAGAAATGTTCCGTACCTTAAATTGAGGTCTCTATTTCAGAAATGATTCAGCCTTAGATGAACGAAGACAAATGTCGCTATTTTATCGAAAGTTATGAAACACCACGCATGTCAAATCTCCATATACCTTTCCCTCCTAATGCAGCAAAATGATACCTTTATCACCATTCAATCAAAGGCTCACCAAGTCGGTGCAGGGAGACGGGACTGTAGCAGTCATCACCGGATGCTTCTGCAACCCCTCACACCCATCTACTGCACAGCATCGCCGTGATAAACACATAAAAGGC